TTTTCAACATGCAAAGAAATGATAAAATATTTAAAATTTCTTTAAATCTTTGGTTTGAACATACTAGTATTTTTATTGTTTAGACGTTACAACAATAGTATCAGACACAAGTAAAAAAAATTTAGAACGTCCTCTCTTCATAACAATTAATTGCACAAAGTATTAATCAAAAATTTATTTACACTAGAACCAAAGTTCTTTGATACCATGCAGATCAAATTCTTTATTAAATTAGAAAATCTAGCATAACCCCGCTCTTTGGCCTGTGTAAGGAAAACATGACAAGGCTTGTTAATCTAAGATTATAAGTTGCTGACGGCGTAGATCATTGATTACGAAAAATACACACAACAATGGACCTTGTGCAAAATAATGCTCGATGCAACTGGTTTTTAAAATGCAAGGAAGACCTCGAGAAGCATTGTTTAACAAAGCTACGCAGTTTTATAAAAGAAGTGAAGTTTAGGTTTCAGTCAGTTTAATACAATGAACGTCACTCATAAATTTCTATCACAATAGCTAAAATAAAAAAAAAATAAAATGATTTGCTGCTGCGGCTCCAATGCACTTTTAAACAATATAGAGGTATGTCCTACCGTACATAGGTAAACTACTGGTATCAAAAAGATTAAATCATCGATTAAAAGCTTTTCAAGGATCTAATTCTTCGTTAATTGGTCAATTAAAAAATACAAAAAGATAATGTCAGATTAGATAAAGGCTAACTTCACCTAGATGGCGATTTTAAGGTTCATAAATCCTCTGCTCACTCATATAGAATGTTGCTTTAACTTTTATCATTTTCCAAAAGAAATGCATTTTATAAGTGAAATACAAACATTTATAACATAGCTTGCTGGGCAAAATTAAACAAAAAAGACATTTCAACTTGACAAAACTATAAAGGAATAATAGACATTTAGGTCAATAAGAGTTATCTCTCTTATCAGACTATCAATGAACCTTAAGAATTTATTTAACGAGGTTGGTTCCTGATATTTAAAGTCTTAAACTTTTTTTTGTCAAGTATATTTATAATTTTTAAACACATAGCTTAATTAAAACTCAAATTAAAGAAAAGATGGGGGTCCATGTGATTTTGGGGCGTTACAGTACATTAAAAAAGACCTTTTTGCACTGAAAATTGTGTCTTAATAAAAAATTACATCGACATTTTCCCTCCAATATTCTTATCCAGATAAAGCATGTAACAAAATAAATTATAGTCTATCTAAAAAAGGCACTTTAAAATTCTGACTAGCAAAAACTTTTCAAATTTCTTTGCATACTCAATTATTTGAACTTTCTGCACTCACAAAATGTGATTTTTCTGGCATTGAAAATTTGATAAGCAAGCAAATTATTCTTAAGTCTTAAACTTTTGCTGAATTTAAGCAGATAGATAAACGTTGTCTTAAATATTCAGAAAAGAACATCAGAAGTGGAGGTATATGATGTTAAATTTTAGATATTATTTTTTAAAAAAAGTGTCACTTTTATTTTCAAATTGGCTCAATATTTTCCTGGACTTTTAGAATATATTTACTATATTTGCCATAACTCATTGAAAGAATTCATTAAAAATTATTTGATATTTCAAAACCAGCATAAAACATTCACTGCAAAAAACATCTTTGTGTGCGACCAGCATGGGAAAATACAATATCCTCTGCAGAGTTGTCGTTTGTTCCTCTCTCAGGCAGTGGTAGAGAGTGGGGGAAATTGGAATCTGAAATTAACAGTACTGTATATAGATTGGTCGTTTTCTTCTTAAAAAAAAACCTCCCGCCACAAAATATAGTTCCTGATTTAATCTTACTTGAATGGAATTTAATCGCGTTTTTGTCATTGAATATAGTTCATTCTGCATTGTAGAATCCAGATTTAATGTTAGAATTTAAAAATGATGCAGAATTTTAGAAATCATATAAATCATATAATTTGACTTTGGTACATATGTATCATTTGATATGATTAATAAATAAAGCGCCTCGGTTGACAATGGTTTTCTTGGGGTGAAAATTTTCAATATTATGCTTTCATGTAAGTAAGTTGAATCTGATTGGTCGAGAAACATTTGTTAAAAACACTATTACCCGCTGAATAAGGAAGCCATGCACGCCCTCCAGCGTAGCAACAGTCAACATTGCTTGACGACGAGTGACTGCGCAGGATTTATACGCGCATGGTTCTTTTAAGAAATAAACAACAATGTTAACAAGAAACATATTGACGCAAGCGGCCGCAAACCAATTAATTAATTCTTTCATAAAACAATTAGAAACTGAATTCTTATATTTATCTGTTAATTGATACGTATCCCTGTGACATTTAACATTGGAATGCGACATTCCAGGATTTTCTTCAGTACATAAAACATGTACATTGCTACATGTACAATGTATTTAAGCAACTTATTCATAGTCCTCTGCGTCCCCCGCACTCAGATTCATTTGTACAAACGAACTCTGGCGGAAGTTTGATGTTTAAGTAGTTTTACAACTTAACCATTAAAACTAACGTTTAAACTTATCTAACTAGAGATAGTTTAACTTTAAATAAAATGTAACAACTATTTGGGGCTCCTCGCTTGCTCAGAGGATGTTAAAACCCCAAACTCCCTCTAGATCCGCCACTACATTTCTTCTCTATCTTGTTTTGGTGTGAGATGTGGCGGGAAAAGGCTTGGCATATTGTAAAACGCGCTTTATCCTTGTCTGTTGGAGAAAAATCTCCTAATATTCTGTCTGATAATAAATTAAGATTAAGTCATATTTTTGAAAATTTTCCGTATTAAAAGTATATTGTATATATTTATATTTACACGTCATTTTAAATTACATGTACAAAAAATCCTGTTGAAGTAGAGAAAGTAAATTTGTTTGTATATAACGCGGCCCTTGCTTTAGACTATGCCCAACATGTGTGCTTATTTCTCCGCACTTCAGTTACGTCGGAGTTTGTCAATCATGATTGGATGAAACATTTAACCCATTATTTATAAAATTTTAATCTTATGATTATGTGCGTTTTTGTTTAACATTTAGTCACTCTTTCTGAATATTCTATTACATGAATGTTAAATATTTTTTATTCAAATTGTTCTAACTCCGCTGAAACGCACGGCAACTTAAAACTTTCATATCATATAACCGACCGCCTCCTGGCGGCCGGTAAAAAGTTCTCTGGGAAATGAACTTTTAGTTGGTCCTGTGAAGCCCGAAGGGCTTCTCAGTAGATTTGATCACGTACCAACTAAAAGTTCATTTCCCAGTGAACTTTTTAACATTGTTGTTTATTACTTATATTTACATTTGAAACGAATACATTTCGAGTTAAATTGTATTTATTACACGAACAGGCCAACGAAGTGCTATGTAATGACGCGCAATAACCTAGAAGTTGTTTGGTCAAAATATCACATCGCTCTGTGATCCGGTCGCGCTATGACCTCTGACCCCCAAATGAAATTCACATAGAATTGAACGTATTTTCTTTTCAATAGGTTCATCTAAGAAAGATATTTGCAAATGTAAATATTGTTATATGTATTTTTATATAAACATTCAGTATAATATAATAAATATTGCATGTAGTTGAGTGCAAAGACATTGGAAATGTAAATATAAGGCCATTAAAGGAAGACAGCTCTGAATTCTTGTAACATAAACTATTCAGATGTTTACTACATACAAGCATATACCCTTGGTTTGGAAACGTAAAAACATACGTAATATTACAAATATTGCAACAAATATACCTTGTTTGAAATGGATGGAAACAGAATTTGAGAACATTCCATGTATCTTCAACAAAAAAAGAAACGCATAGTGTTTTACTCAAGAAATTTTGAAAAAGTATGTGGAGCAACTATTTTTTTTATCATTGAATACCTGTGACCTATTTAAAGTACAATATGGGCTTTTAAACACAAACTCTGGAATTATTTCCCTTAATTAATTATGTTTATGAAAATAGTGTTTCACATGATTTCTTGTAAATCGGGGGTCTATTTTCATTGATACTTTGGATTTAGAGAAACAATAAACACTCCTATTAAACCCATATTTAAGTTTTGATTGCAATGTTGATGCTGCAATGCCACGCCTAAACAAAGATGAACGCAACATGGCTTTTACAGTGAAACTAACCGGAGCTTCACAACAGGAAGTTGCAAATGCATTTGGTGTACATCAATCGGCTTTGTCTCAAACAGCTAGGAATACGGATGACAGATCAAGAACTGGCCGTCCGCGGGCTACCACACCCAGACACGACCGTAATATCCTCCTTCAGCACCTGCGCAATCGACCCAGAACTGCTGTACAAACTGCTGAAATCAGCGTAAAGTGCACAGATTGTTCGCAGGAGATCGAGAGGAGCTGGTATCCGTGCACGACTTCCTACGGTGGAAATCCACTAGCGCTGCGAGGTCGCAAAGGACACATGGATTGGATAAGACGTATGCCTCTAGAATTTGCAAGCGTCAATGACATCAACTTAACTTGTCAATTTGGAACATAGGACATGTTTGGTTTTCATCCCAACACACTCTAAAATCACTTTTAAATATCAAGATTTAAACTGAAAATTTAGATATCATGTTTTATCTGAATATGCGTTTCTTTTTTTGTTGAGTATATAAGAAGAAGGTATGGTTTGGGCTTTATTATTCCCTTAAGATTTCATGTTCTTATAAATTTATGAAATTGTTTGAGTAGATGAATATTATAAATCATTCAATTATATGGCATAAAAAAGGATCATGGATTTTCAATGATTCAGAAAGACTGAATTTTAGTTTCTTACATCACTTCTAAATTTTAGAAAAATACAGGACAAGATTTGTATTGAAACTGTACCCTGTTCTTCAAATTCTAAAAGTAGTTGAGTATTCATTTAAAACTTAGCTGAATATCAAATCGATTTATTAAGATATTTTGCTTGAATAAGATTTCCTGGATTTTTCTAAAACAGAAAATTAGGTTCTTATATTGGAGATGACAAGCGTTCATCATTTGGATCTTCCACAGAGCTCTTCAGCTCCGAAAAAACGGTAAGTGGAAAAACCCTGAAAGGTATTTATATAATTCTTCAACTAAAATTATAAATTGGCAGTTTTATAAGGTAATGTAATAATCAAGATGTAATTGGGAAATTAAAATAACTGTACATGTAATAACAGTATCTTGATGCTGAGCTCAAAGTAATGCAAATGACAGCTGCTAGATCCAATTTTTTTAAAATATTCAACTTTATCCTATATTTCAGTAAATACGACATTTTTGACAAAAGTCCCGAGGTTGTCGAAGATGACGTCAGGCGGAACTGGTTAGATAGAACCCATGGCTGTCTGCGCCTTCTCTTCCTCTTGTCCTTGTTTGTTTTCATCTTATTCACGGCTTTTCTATCTAGATTCAGTTTTCATATAATTTTGATAAACCTCAATCCTCCAACTGTTTTTACAACCTTGAACAAGTTCGGGGGTGACACAACCAACACGACGGCTTCTTTTGTACCAGCGGATGTTCATATATCATGGGTCTGGGCATGTTTCCTGGTTTTGATAGCGCCATCTTTACATTCGTTTGCTTATTATTTTTTGCAATTTTACAAAAATATTGGTGTAGTCGAAAATAAAACAACACGTAATGACAAAAAAAACAGTACGGAAGACGATTTTAAAAATGATACAACACGTGATGACAAAAAAACACGTGATGAAATAGACACTCGTAGTGAAGATGATTCTGAAGATGAAAAAACATGTGGTATCAAAAAGGCCAGTATTGAAGCTGATTTTGGTATCTATATTCCGAATAAAAGAGAAACAAATGGGAAAATCGAGGAACAAGTCATACCACTTAATTGTGTAAGTATTTACAGGTCAATTGCCTAATAAGTCTTAAGTTTAGATTTGTTTGTGTATTTTTTATCGTTGCATTTTCTTTTATAGTGTATCCAAGCAGCTTTAATGATAGAATTTGGAGTAGTTCAAGCTATTGGAGAAACTTTGGCTGTTTTTCTGCTGCTTCCCACATTTGATCAGGCGTCTGCTGGAATAATTGCTACTAATATGACTTTGCTTGTTCCTACTATATTAAACGGATGTGTGAATCCTTACTTTCGTTGTCGCAAGAAACTTTTTAAAAATGCTGACAAAAAAGAATCCGAAAAGAAAAATGCTACCAAAAAAGGGTTCGAAAAGGAAAATGCTACCGAAAAAGAGTCTGAAAAGGAAACTACTTCCAAAAAAGAGTCTGAAAAGGAAAATGCTAACAAAAAAGAATCTGAAACAGATGGCAATCAACGAATCAAAATCAAGCTATTGAATAATTTTTTTCGATTTTCCATGGGTTTTTTAACTTTTTGTTCGTTTTCTTGTCTTATTTCTTATGTTTCCTTGCTAGTAGATAAAAATGATGTCAACTCTCTTGGTGGTATAATTGCTCTTACAATTATAAATATTTTCTTTTCGTCAATCGGATTTTGGGAAAATGTTTCTGGTTTCAATTTTGAAAGACTTCGAAACCATAGGAGGATAATAATGATGGCATTCTCAGCGTGTAAAATTGTTACTTATTTTATCACTTTTTTGGTAGCTTTTAGTGTTCTGGGTGAACACGACAGCATTGAAGTTTTGTTTGGAATAAAAACCAATGCCACGGTAACTATGCTAGAGAAAAGCATTCGTCTGGTCAGTACAGCAAGTTTCCGAGAAAACTGTTTTACAGAGCACCCGTTTTACGTAGCTCTTGTTAGTTTGTTTGCATCGTACTTCTGTTTCAAGGCTAGCTATCAAGCTTGTAGAACATATCTCCAGTGGCCAAGCTTTTCTATTCCGCTCATAATAAATTTGGTTTTAGTACCTATACTCGTTGGACTTTACTTGAAACCAAATGCTTTCTACACGACGATTGAGAAATGTAGTATAATTTCTGAAGACTGGGATTTCAATGTTGACAGAGAAGACACAACCAGTAAATGGATGATTGGGATGTGTGGTGCCCTCACCTTCGTTAGTATTCTTATGCTGACGACCTACGTTTGGCGAAACGGGATGAGGATTAAAAAATTAGAAAAGTAAGTTTTACTTACCATAAACTTAACTAAACATTATTCAATAAAATACCATGCATGTTTATCATTGTTTTTTTTCATTTTTAGTATTTACTTATTGCAAAAATAGTATTAGCACATGGTTGCCCTGCTTTTCCGTGATTTACGGTGCTACTTTTCCGCGATTGAATGGTGGATATGCAGATAACAAAAAGTATTCAATATCAAAGTCCATTAAACAATACAAAAATAGGAGCAGAGTAAACACGGACCCCCAAAACATCATGAAGTGGGATCAGGTGCCATGGAGGAGTGAGCATTCGTTATAAATCAATTCTCTCTCTCTCGATAGATCGATACATTATCTTGCCTTTTTTTTTTAATGATAGCGGTAGGCACTTATCTGTAATTTACATGTATTTTCCCCATAGAGTTCTACTTGGTAGTATTTACAGTGTAATACAAAATTGAATGAATTCTCATTACACTACTCGATGATGTTATAGATGTTATGGAAATTGGTCATAAAGAAATGAATCATGATTTACGTATTGAAAAGTCATGCAGTGCGTTAAAGAATGTGTATTGCCGATGAAGTGTAGGTAAATAAAGCAAGGCTTGAAAGTTACAGTTACAACAGATACCGTCACAGTGGTAGATACAAGAAAAAAATATTCTCCACCATCTCAGTAGAAAAATGACCGAAGCTGGTGGTAAGCAGGTTATATATTACGAAATAGGCAGATGCAAAGAAGTCGCGGAAAAGGAAAACATATTATCGCAGGAAAGCTGTATATCCTATCCCGGAAAAGCAGGCGTAGGATTTATTTTACTCGGAAAAGCTGTGAATCGCGGAAAAGTGGAATCTTCAACTACAACCACTAACTTTTTCTGATCTATTTACAGGATATTTGCTATGCCTTTTTACGCTGGTTATGCTATTGACATAACGTTACTTTGGTCAAGAAGACGGATAAGGAAAAGCAGACGTGTACATGTAAGACTGTAATAATCTCTAATATGAAAGTGAAGTAGAATACAAAACATTGAATTTTCTATTTATTACATTTTTTAAAAAAAATCTTTGATTTTTCCTTTGCCTCTGTCTTTTTGTAATACAGTCATAGGCTCGTGACGTCATAGTTGAGCGGTTGAGACGTCATAGCTATGTGAGGTGAAAACAATGTAAACATGGATTTAGCAACATATTTTTGGTAATTTTGACAGTTTTATTCGCTGTCAGAATGGTTTATTTATTTCCATCTATCTTATATTAGGCCAAGGAAGATTTTTTACAGCAATCTTCGTTATGGGAAGGGAAATCAACTTCTTATATTCGTCACACTGTACAGGATAATTGATATCCTTTCACACTGTGACTCAATGAATAAATCACAGTATTTCACAGGTGATTACTTTGTTCCATATCAACCCAATGTATCAATTTGTCTGTGTGATTACGATTCAAGTAGTCCGATCCTCGGGTTCATAAAATCAACAGTTAAGGATATTTGATCCTCAGCTAGGAAAGATATCTCTAAAAATTATTATCTAATTAAAATGCATCAAATTGAAGCTTAAAATTGAAAAGCTTAACATGTTCTCTGCCTCTTCATATATTTGAAAAATATTAGATTAAATAATTTATGCTAGTTACCTACGGTAATTTAAAAATGAATGACATTAAATAATGTGTCGTTTTTTTACATATTTAAAATTTAGCCTTAAGGACAAAAGAACTCTTAGGAAAAATTTACTTATAAACAAACTGTCACGGATAAATATAATTTTTTCAAAAGTTAATTTTGTATACATGTACTTCGTATAGCATGCGTAACATCAGTGACAGTTTGTTTATAAGTAAACATCGTTATCTTATTTTCCTAACGCTTATGCTTCACGGGGATCACATGTTTGATTATTTGTTAACTAGATTTGATTTCAAGAATATGGTAGAATCTCGAATTTTGTTTTTTTAGGCTCAGGTCAACAATGTAGATGAAGAGTCCATTCCAACAATATACCTCTGTGCAACTATGTGGCATGAAACAGAGCTTGAAATGAAAACACTTTTGAGATCTATTTTCAGGTAATATTTATTATAGATACAAGAAATTTGGAAGTTGAAGAATCTATTTGTATAACTTTATGTGCAGTTCAAGTAGATTTGATTCATAACAAAAGAATACAATTCTATTCCATTTGCATTTTGATAGCATATTTTAATTTTATAACTGCTACACGTACTCCCACTTTTAAGCTCACCTGAACAAAAGGTAAAGTTATAGCTTTTCAGATCAAGGGATATCAGTTGTTTGTAATACAACCTGCAAATCTTTAAATATATAATATTTTCCACAGTTTACGATTCAACAGAAAGAGTTATGTAATTAACTCCTACTGACTTGTTGGAATTTGGACTCACACATCCACTTGGGATGGTCTTGATTTTAGTTTTTCCTTGTAATTTTTGTCTCAGGTTATGCTTACAAATTCTCAAACTTTATCTTTAGTGTATTTCAATTCATTTCTTTCAAAATGTCTATAAAACATAGCGAAAATTTAAAAAAAGTTTTTTTTTAAACTTTGAAAAAAACACACGCTTAATATAATAGCAATTTGACTTATTATAGATTAAATAGGCATCAGTTTATGATGGCAGTGAAGCAACACTACTTAGCAGAGAATGGAATTCGGGAGAAGCCAAATGATGAATTTTATCAGTTTGAAGGTACATGTATTTTTAAATTCTAATAAGTTTTTAGCTCACCTGAGCCGAAAGCTCAAGAGAACTTTTCTGAGAGTTAAGTGTCCGTGTGTCGTTTGTAAACTTTTCACGTTTTCGACGACTTCTCAAGAACAACTCGACCAGTTTCAAGCAAACACATCATAAAAAATCTTTAAATTGGTAAAGGGAATTTAAATTATTTTCAAAGGAAGTACCGCGCCCTCTTTTGAATGAATATGATTAAAACATAATTGAAATAAGTGACATATTTAATCTATTATTTCTGCACCATAAATGAGAAACTTGTTTATAAGCTTCTTTACACAGTGAAGATTCAAGTTTGTTTAAATTATGACCCTCTACTATAGGATCATAATAGAAGGAAATATTTTGCAAAAATACTAGTAGATGGGGCCATATTTGATGATCAAAGTTTTACATGGAAATAAGGAAAAATATTTAAAATCAGCTCCTTAAGAACATCAAACAAAGCCACGATTTCAAATGTGGAAGTATTCTCAGGTATATACGGAATTTAGATTCAAATTTGTTCATATGTTGAATCTTTTGTATAAGGTGGTACATGCCACAACAGAAGAACAATATTTTACAAATGAATATATCAGAGAAAATCAATACTGTAAAAATAAAGCCATGATTGGTCATATAGATATGGAAGCATCTTCAGTAAGTGTAAATTCAATTTTGTTGAAAATAAGAGCCCCTCCCCGCCGATCTCGGGGTAGGTTGGGGCAGCTTATGTATTTTAATTTTTTTTTTTTAAATCAATACTGAACTGACTTCTGCTTTTTGCTATTCAAAGTGCTCAGATTAGCACATGGGCTTGTTGTTTTAATAGACTGTACAATGAGAAATTGTCATTCAATCATGTTAAATTTTAAGTGATTTTTCAAATAAAACTTAAGATATTCATTGCATAAAGACAATAATTTGTATCCAATTAAAGACCTAATAGATTAAGTATCCGTCTTTGAGATAACGGATGGATTGTCTGATATTTTAACCATAACATATTGAAGGTGTTTTTAAATAAAAATATATACACCACTAAGTGAAATTTCAAAATTTTGTGCATTGTTAAATTTAATACACCCTGAATTTACATGGAAGTCTATGGACAGCGCATGTGTTACGATTAAGATATTGTGAAAACTAAAAAGTAATCTGAACTAAATATCTTGGTGAAAATATGCATTAAACTCTCTTTATTTAAATATGAAATTTTCTTCTTTTCATCAAGGACAGAAAACTCTTCAAAAATGTTTTAGGTGCAAAATGGCTGGCTTATTATATATTATCAGTCATATGAATTTTGCTCATTTCACTTTCATCGTTATCTAGCAATACGTATTTAATTACTTTAAGACAATTCAAAATTGTTCAAATCTACTATCCCTTCATTATACATTGAATACCTTAAAAATCATGTCATTATGTCAAATATTATAATCAATAATTTTGCAAATATCGTAAAAGTGGTTTCAGTAAAGGTGCATATATGTATCGTATTTTTAGCCCACATTTTTTTTGATGACGCATTCAAGGAAAGTAAAGAAAAAATAAAACCAAAGGGTCGCGTGAATAACACAGAAAGAAGGGGATTAAACCCTGGAGAAGAAACCAACGAATATGTCACACAATTCATAAAATGTATCGAAGATACTGCAACGTATGTTTCCTTACACCAGTTCAACTTGTACACAGTGATTTCAACGGTTAAATAGGATTTTTGAAATCCCTGTAACATCGACTTATGTGTGAGTATCCTACCTCTTTTTAAAAATTGAGCGTATTGAGCATTTCTTCAACATCGAAATAATTCGGAGATGTTAAGTCCAGATTCCAAGACCATAAATTGACAACAGACTTCAGTCAATCAACATTTTACAGAAAAAATCAGTTATTAAAGGACAACAATTAGTGCCTATCTGAAGTTAAGTTAGTTAGAAGACGATCTCTGAACACAACATAAAGGTTTTTATTAAGGATCGAACTCCAGCATCTTTTATTATCAAATTCAGAATATTTTTTCTGCAGAATCAGAGTGCTTTTTAACAAGTATTTTTAAGACCCATTCAAGTTTCGAAAATTTCAGAGTTCCATAGATTGCATTTGGAAAATCTTCTTTTCTGTATTGGGTATTTGGGTATATAGCAGACAAACTAATTTGCATGGTCATGATGAGCAGGTACTCCTCTTCCAAAATTATAAAAATCCACAGCCCCTGGATCAGTTAGGGCGGGGCTTTGTTGAATGTTTATCATGAGAATGAATTATTTCAAGAAAAGCTGTTCCTCTGTTCCTTCGACAAGCTTAGTGCATTATCACCCTCTGGTTTTCTCCACCTTCGTGATGAATTGGAGAAATAGCTGTGTCTGATGTGAGATACTCACAATCACAGTATAGATCTAAAAACTTAAGACAGAATCAAATCCATAGAATTACATTGAACTTTATTGCATCAAACTAGATCAGTTTTAAATACAAATTAGAATAAATGAATCATATTAAATTTTACAAACAGTAGTACAACATCTAAAGTGTAAAAAGTTAATCATTATTATTATTGTAAACAAAGTCATGAGTGCTATGTCAGAAACACTGTCAGAGAAAAACTCATTTACGAAAGAATATACATACATGTACATACTTTTTATAAAAACAATAAACTATAAAGCTTACCAAATAAACCATTGTAAAAGTTTGTCATGATGATTAATAGATAACCGAATATCAAAGTTTAAATAACTTTTAACAATTTTAGAATTTTAACATTAAATGTTCTTCAAAGAACAAAAGAGGCCAGCATGAAAGGGAATGAGATGTATGTTCTAAAACTGCTAAAGCACTATTGCGTAATCGTGATAGTGACAAATGAGGGCAAGTACATGTACACGCAAATCAATAGATTTACTAAATTACAGAAAAAAATTGTTACTGAGTACTAGCTAGTTATTTTGTTGATCTTTACCTATCAGTTTATTTTATAATATTTTATGCTTCTATGGGTCCTTTACAATTAATACTGCATTATACTAAAATGGCTATTAAGGCCCTAAGTCTTATTCCCCAATCCAGACTAAACTTGCATTGATGATACATTAAGAAATGAACACTCTTGCTTACATTTTTCGGATGACAGACAAGTTTTGAATTTTAAAACAAGTCTGTACCTACACATTGACTGCGGACCAAATTTGCAGCCAAGAATATACACTCCTTTTTGAAGGTCACCAGCTTGATTATCTATTTTTCATCTCATAGGTCTTTTTATCGGATAAATGAATTTTCCACCTCAAAGAAATATAGGACACCATATGGAGGAAGACTGGAATGGGATTTACTTGTTCCAGATTTAGATGAGCTTAAAAAGCTTCTTAAATCGAAAAAGGATAAATCATCTTCAAAAGATAAACAAAGATACCATTTTCTCGGCTGCATTTGTGGAGGTAAATCCGAAGAGAAAAACACAAAATCCAACAATGATGATGGTATCTCTAAAGCAAAAAACAATGAACCCAGTGTTGAAGGTAGTTCTGAAAACAAAAACATCGAATCCAATATTGGAGGTAGTTCTTCTAAAAAGAAAAGCAAAAAATCTAAGGGTAAATCGCCTAAGAAAAAGAAGAATCGATCTAACTCGGGATGTATAATTGAAGACAATAAAATCAATGAATCCAGTACTGTAGGTAGTTCTGACGAACAAAGAAAGGAATCCAGTTCTAAAGCAGGTAGTTCTGGTGAAAATTCATCTGAGACTTCAACAAAAAACCTACCAAATACGTGGACAGTCCCATGTAAACTAATCCTCCACCTTAAAGACAAAGCTCTTATCCGCAAAAAGAAGAGATGGAGTCAGGTACATTTAAGAATATATACATTTGTGGTATCTTTCCATTATATAAACATACAGAGAGAAAATATCTTAAATTCTGTATGAAGTTTGTCAGAGGTCAATATATGGCCGAATCACACGGCGCAATAATATCTACCGTTACATAGAAATATAGAACGACTTGCTTTTTAGCTCACTTGAGCTGAAAGCTCAAGTGAGCTTTTCTGATCACATTTTGTCCGGCGTCTGTCTATCTGTCTGTCTGTCTGTAAACTTTCATATTTTCATCTTCTTCTCAAGAACTACTAGGTCAATTTCAACCAAACTTGCCACAAAGTATCCTTAGGTAAAGGGGATTCAAGTTTGTTCAAATGAAGGGCCAATCCCTCTTCCAAGGGGAGATAATTATGAATTAGTGAAAAATTAATGACATTTTTAAAAAATCTTCTTCTCAAGAACCACTGGGCCAGGAAAGATGAAACTTATAGGGAAGCATCTTCAGGTAGTGTAGATTCAAGTTTATTCAAATCATGTTCCCCGGGGGGAGGGCGGAGCCACAATGGCCTACTAAAGTTTTACATAGAAATATATAGGATAATTCTTTAAAAATCTTCTTCTCAAGAATAATAAAGCCATGATTGGTCATATTTACATGGAAGCATCCTCAGGTAGTGTAGATTCAAGTTTGTTGAAATCATGACCCCCGGGGGTAGGGTGGGGCCACAGTGGCCGACCAAAGTTTAACATTGAAATATATAGTAAAATTCTTTAAAAATCTTTTTCTCAAGAATAACAAAGCCATAATTAGTCATATTTACATGGAAGCATCCTCAGGTAGTGTAGATTCAATTTTTTTCAAATCATGACCCCCGGGGGTAGGGCGGGGCCACAATGGCCGACCAAAGTTTTACATAAAAATATATAGGAAAATTCTTTAAAAATCTTCTTCTCAAGAATAACAAAGACATGATTGATCATATTTATATGGAAGCATCCTCAGGTAGTGTAGATTTAAGTTTGTTCAAATCATGTTCCCCGGGGGTAGGGCGGGGCACAATGGCCGACCAAAGTTTTACATAGAAATATATAGGATAATTCTTTAAAAATCTTCTTCTCAAGAATAACAAAGCCATGACTGGTCATATTTATGTTGAAGAATTCTCAGGTAGTGTAGATTCAAGCTTGTGCAAATCATACCCCTCTCCTTTAAGGGGTGGTAGGGACTACTTTTGGGTTTAAACTTTTCAATAATAAACTAGTTTCTGTTTTTATGCTAGCCGCAGTGCTCAGGTGAGCGATGTGGCCCATGGGCCTCTTGTTAATAGTTTTCAAGTATAAAAATGAACAAAAATAAGCAGGTGAAATAATTGTGTTATTTACAACGTAAACAAGACAAGTACTTCATACATTTTTTAGCGATCGATTTCATTTAACCTGTGTATATAGGACTAGAGAATATACTAGGCTAGCCTTTGTTCACAAGTTGTACGCGTCACTTTTTTCAGTTGCACAGTCTCTAACTTTTATCATTATTTTTTGGTAGATTTTAAGTTAAATCTTCATAATATAGGCTAAAACTATATTTTCCCCATTAAATTCTACTCACGATAAATGTGTAAATCTATTGGAAATTAAAACATTGCAATCATGCCACGAACAGCTGAGAAACACCTCGATCGTAGCTGTCGTACTTCAATGTAAGCTGTCGCCAGTGTACATGTCTCCGTGTTAACATAATAAATATGACTTCAGCTACTGAAATCGTAGATTAAATGTGTTTTTATCAAATTTAATACCTGATTGCAAATTAACTGTCTCGGACAAGTGCCTCAACCCATCGGATCCATCCATCCCTTTCAGGCGACCGAAATTCCTCCAACTTTTTATCATTAATCCTCGGGCGTGTTTCTTGTGTCTTTTCAGTATTAATTATCAATTTTCACAAATAAAAATATTCCCAGACAAGAATCTTTTCACTATAACTGATCACAAGTAGCCTTTAACAAAATAATCCCTTGGAAATAGAATTCTTAGCCTGACGAATTCAAAGCGTAACCGCCTTTCAAGCCGATTTACACCTTGCATACTTTTGACGGAAATCTAAGGCGACCGGTTAGTGCAATATTTATATCCGAATATAGATCTATCTAATTTAATGTTTAATTGTCCATCTCAAATGTATATATAAGTAATAAATAACAAGTTTATAAACTTCAATGGGAATAGAAGTGGGTCGGTACGTAATCAAATCTTCTGAAAAGACATTCGACGTTCACAGGATTTGATCACGTGACCGATCCACTTCAATTCCCATTGAAGTTTATAAACTTGTTATTTATTTCTAAATTCAAATAAGATACGATAGATATGTTTATTATACCTGTACTGATTTTTTTCCTAGTTAGGCAGTAAAATGTGAATAATTCCTTAGAATTCTCTGTGAATGGCCTAATCACCGTGCCTTAATCAAATGAGCATATCCCTGCTTCGGAAGCTAATTCCCCGGTTATCCGTAACCCTCTATATATTAATTTCATATCGGTCTAATATGTTAATGGATTAGTCCGGTAGCTTATTCCCCGTCATTCGTAATCCTCTATTATTTTTTTTTACTTTTGTATCGGTATATAATAAAACAGTTAAAAAGTATATTATTGAGGGAGTTAGCAAGATACCAGTTCCCCTCGACCAGGACTATTTCCCGAGGCTGCGCGTTGGATAATAGTCCTGGCCTTGTGGAACTGGAATTTTGCTATCCCCCTCAATGATATACTTTAACTGTATACATATACACATAATATCATTATTACAACTTGATACCAAGAGTCGTATTACATCGAGTTAACAATCGCAGGTTATCAGATCAACTTTAAATTTAATCTGATGATCCAGATGATTTTTTAATATATGGAACCTTTTTGTAGGTGATGTACATGTATTTTCTTTTGAGCTACAATTCGATAGCTAAAAAAATTGGATTAAAGGGGACATTTACCGAAAATTCAGAAAAACCAACAACAAGTACATCCGAGGCTACTCAATCAGAAAAAATGAAAGAAGGGGTAAGTCGTTGCTAATGAATGCTTTGGTATAAAGCATCTGTGGGTAAAGTGGAACCAAAATTAATTTTTATGGTCTCTACCGCTTTGACGCTCAGGGTGTGACCAAATCATTACAATTTATACAATTACAAATGTATGTTAAAATTATATTTATTTCTGGACGTGAAGCAGTAAAATCGACGATATGATTATATTAAGTAACAAGTATTTAATAAACACCATGAATATAATGCCATCTATTTTCAGGATTCAAGAAAAGGCTAGGTTAGTCATGCATAAAAATGCATTATAATCCCCTCGCAACAGAGTTGCAGGGGGTTTTATCATTCACATGTTAGAGTATGTTTGTGTGTTAGGGAGGATGTGTGTGAGGGAGGGTGTGTCTGTTTCTCCGTCTGAAACGACAGTGACGTATTTTGCGTCAGATTTCTTCCATCGGAAACCGTTCAATTCATCTTTGAACCTCTTTTACTATGTATACATCTGTGATCGATATAAGTATTTGTGGAGTTCTCTCGTTCCTGGGTGTGTTCAGCTCTTTTTCCGTATAAACAGTAGTCAAACCCCACTCCAACCAACTCTGAGTGATAATTTGGTGCGCCGCATTATCGCTCGACGTTTCCTTTTTATTAATATCTAATTTATAGTGTGTCTGCATATAACGTCATATTTATGACGTCAGAGTATTCAATTTTTACACACGAGTACTTTAAATCATGAAGTTTTTCAGGATATAATTTTTGTCACATTATATGTCCGTATAGCTTGGTAATAAAGAAAAAAATGCTGTCAATGCTATTTGTAAATGTCAAGAAATTGCCGTGCGGCGACCACTGATATTTAACTCCAAGTAAATGTTGTTTATAAATGCCCAAAGAACTTTATTTGGTCATAACCAATATTTGCCCCCCAAAATCAAACTTTGACGGAGAAATATTTAATTATGTTCTTAAACAGGGGAATATATGCTGACTTCAACACACTGAATATTTTCATTAGCAATGATGTCATATGTTTGAAATGGCGTCGCGAAAATGGCGTAAATTTAAAATTTCCATGATTTGTATCAAAAAACGTATATTTTACGTCGATATTTTGAGTAAAAGTCACCGAGCGCAGATCTGATCAGGCTCAATATTTTGATTTTATGTGTAGAATGATAATATCAATGAAATATGTAAATGTTATTTCTGAGCAAACTTGCGCTCTATAAATTTTAAAGCTAAAATTGTTGAAATTTTGTACATTTCGTCCTCTTTCTAAAAAATGACATAAAATCGAACTAGTTTTTGACGTCACAAAAACAAAAATTGTCAATAAACTATTTTGAAACTATAATATGATCTGTTAATTTAAATTTCTTATACAATTTATAAAATTCAGCACATTTCAGGAATTTTTCAAAATTTTACTTTTGTGGGGGGCAAAGATATGCAAATACCGCAAATGGTTCTTTCCCAACTTTTTGCCAAAAATTGATTTTTGTCGGTTGGTGCATGAAATATCGCGATTTTCTGGGACAACCCTCATATTATATATATATATATATATATATATATATATATATATATATATATATATATATATATATATATATATATATATATATATATATTTTACTCAAGCATTTCAAGTGATAACTTGCAGGAAAAGCATAATTTGGAGGAGGAACGAAAGAAGTTTGCTGACGTTATAGCCCCAAATACATTTATCCTTGCTTTAGACGGTGACGTTGATTTTAAACCCGCTGCTGTCCTAAGATTGCTGGAACGGATGCAGAAAAACAGTGATGTGGGAGCAGCTTGTGGTCGAATAATACCAATGGGTGGAGGTAATCGCAAAACAGGGGGTAAAAATCTCTATCTTAATCAAATTACAAATTATTTTTGTTTCCTGCTTGCAAGATACATGTTTTTCATAAATAATTATATAGGCCCTGTTGTGTGGTATCAAAAGTTTGAGTATGCAGCTAGTCATTGGTTACAAAAATCCACTGAACATGTTTATGGCTGTGTCCTTTGTTCTCCTGGCTGTTTCAGTCTCTTTCGGGCTTCTGCTCTAATGAGCACTGATATCATAAAGATTTACACAAGTATCCCGTCAACTGCTTTTGAGTATGTCCAGTACGATCAAGGTAAGTAAGACTTTTACAGTACCTTTCTCTCTGAGTCTTTTCTCCCTTAGTGTTAGGAGTGAAAACATAAACGATAGAATTAATCAGTTAATTATCGCATCTTAATAATCACAAAAAAGTAAACATCACAACCTCGTATTTTCTCCAATATAGTGCTACTTGAAAATAAAAGAATGATACTTATATTAAGTAAATAAAAAAAATAAAGGAAAATGATGCATGTATGAGAGAATAAAACAGTTGAACTTTTTTTCATATTGCATAAAAATGTAATCGAATAATAGTATTTATATGAATCAGTTTTTTTTAAGTGTAATTACATGTAAAAATATGAATCAACTGGCTATCGAAAACAGTCTTGCTTCGTATGGTAAAAAAAGAATAACCCAATTCAAGTTGATATTCATCCTTGTGAAATTATTCAAATGACAATTCCATGAGGGGAAAATTTATTTAGCCTGTAAATCAAAAATTATTTTTTGCTTCTACTCTGAACATCAACCTATGTTGGGCTATCGTTAATATAAGCAATTCTTTTCTTTTATGTTTTCGATTTTGTGACCTTCACAGTGGAAATGTTCCCCAGCTGTTCCACTGAGTATCTTAGTTTAACTGGTCGAACGGTCATAAATGAATTTTCTGCAGAGATCTCCCGTTCCAACAGCACGTTATTTGTAAAAGCTGTTTAGGTATATGCAGTTGTTTGCTCGATAGGATATATTTCCTAGAATTAAGAAGTTGCAGCCAGTAAATTGGTAATGAGGCTGTTAAAGCTGTCTTTGTCAGAAATGTGCTGACAGAGAAGTCAGCTTCTGTCAGAGAATAGTTTGACAACAACTACCCCCGACTCCCATTAAGTAATGCGAAAAGGCTGGATGGCTGTGTATGTAGCGTTTTCATCCCCAGGGGAAGCATGTTTCTTTTCTTCGTTGTCGAGATTTTGATATTTAACAGAATTAATTGTTGAATAGAGAATTTTACTCCCCTGCTTCCTTCAAAATAGAAATATTATTAGGTTGTCTTTATTACACCACACAAAAAATTAAACACACCTTTCGAAAATGACGTTAATGATACATTTCACTTCAGTGTCATTTCATGTTTTATGTTTACGTACTCCTTTTTGAGGATTTTTTTTAAGGTCTTCCGTTCCCAACGGAAGACCTTCTACTGATTCTGATGATTAAGATTATTCTTATTATTCTTTTTTTTTTCCTTTTCCTAGACGCCAACTTTGAGGCCTCATATTTCACTCATTTCTCAATGGATTTTGCTCAAATTTTCAGAGTTTATAGACGTTACTAAACTCTATCAGAATGCTATCTAAAATTTCAAAAAGTCATTTCCGGTTTTGAGTTATTTCCCTTTAAACAAAAATTTATAGGCTTTCGTTTCCAGACAAAGACTCAGAGACGGCTAAAGCTGGAGCAGAAATTTTACTGATTTTAGATAATACAAGGATTGAAGTTGTGCATGGCGGTTTTTGTTTTTCGATTTCTCTATTCAAAATGGTGCTATATAGGGGTCAAAAATTAGAACGCCTAAAAGAACGAAAATTTACACATATTTTGCTTTTTATCTTCTAAACTAAAAATATTTTGTTAAAACATATAGAACAAAATTTGTGCAGAATTACAAGATCTTTCAAATGATATCTCGAAAAAAGGGCTGACCCCTAAATTAAGGGATCTAGAGGGGCCAAAAGTTTTTTCCAGATATCTCAAAAAGTATTGAGAATTTGTAATACATCCAAGAAGCAAAGTTGTTCAAAATGTCAAGCTTAATCTATTGAAGTCGTCAAAATGCGTCCGGCGACGTCACTTCCGGTCAAACCGGAAGTAGTCAGAAAATGCATATTTTTGCCGTTCTTGACAAGTTTTTGGGTAACACATGTCACTGGAAGCATAAAACTTAATTTTCCGTCCATCGACATCACTTCCGGTCAAACCGGAAGTAGCCAAAAATAGTTTATTTTTTGAAGTTTTGATGCAAAATTGAAGTTATAAAGTGACTGGAGACGACTAAGCTCATTGCTTTCTTTTGTTGACGTCACTTCCGGTCAAAACAGGACGGAAGACCTACTCGTTGCTTTGCAACGAGCTTTGCTCTAGTTTCTTTTTCACTGTTTGTTAATTTTACCATGATATGACAAAACTAAGGGTGTTACAGAAGTAGAATTATTATATATCTATATCCCTGAAGCTGTGCAAAAAAGATATCAAGTCAAGTATTGAAATAGGAACCCATAACAGCACAACTTAAACGGCTATGAAATTCTGCCCAATCCAATCATAATAGAATCTATTGCATGAATCGGCTTTAGGAGATTGATCTGTTTCTGAAACAAAGCAGTGGATGAACAGAAGGGACGAAATTTGGTGGCAAAATCTTTAAACACAACGTAGAATGTATGTGGTTGACAGTTACATGTAGCTGGATGTACAACTGGAAATCTGCATGTGAGTTTCGTGTGGTGACTGAACTCGATTTTGTCATCAGTCAGGGTATATGTAGCATTTAAAATATGTATGTTTTTAGAGATGCATAATCTACATTTGATATACTGATTGACGGTGTGGGAAGGAATTTCAACAACCTCGTATACGGTCGTTATATTGACCTTGTTAGAAAAAATAACCAAACATTAAATGCAAGATGTTTTTGTTTTCTTGTGACTTTTTAACCTTGAACCTTTTGTTTGCCCAAGGAAGGATTGATTGTGTGGTTGTTTATGATATTCACGCGAATATCTGTATTGTAACAGTTAATGATTATGTAAAAGAAAAAAAAATATTAAATAGCTATCTCGTTAAAATAAGATGTCACAAACATATATTTCTGTAGATATTCAGAAACAAACCTAATAATTAATCATGCCCGGCAGGTGAAAACTGATATCTGTTGACTTGGCCGGTGACTTGCGTTTACCTTTAGATATTACAAACTATTTGTGACGAACCCTTTCGTTATTAAAATATTTAACAATTCGTTATAAGTCAAAACTAATCAAATCTTGAATCAGTCTTCTGATTGGTTAATTTAGAATTTGGAATCTTGTAATTTTAATTTGTATTTTGACCCGAGAATGATCCTTTGTGTGTTTGTTACATTATAATTAGAATCCCTTGTTTTCAGGAGAAGACAGGTGGTTGAGTACTCTACTATTAAAACAAGGTTACAAACTGGAATACACAGCAGCCTCTGACGCCAATACCTATGTTCCCGAAGGGTTTTTCGAGTTTTTCAACCAAAGAAGAAGATGGTCCCCTTCTACTTTAGCTAATATCTTTGATATTATCTCGAGTATTTCATCTGTAACAACCGAAAATGCTTATGTCAGTAAGCTATATCTGGTGTACCATATGTTTCTTTTCGCTTCATCCATAATTACCCCAGGAACAATTTTCCTTATGATCCTTGGGGCTACTGTTTTGGCATTTCCAGTTATTCCACTCTGGGTAGCCTTCGTCATCAACATCACACTTATTGGAATCTTTATGTTATCATGTGTGTTCGCAGAAGAGAAAACACAGGTTAGCATAACAGTTTAAAGTTTTATACATTAAATTTATAGGGCTTCATGCGTTATTTAAACTCAGATTTTTTTTTAGCATAAATTAGATTTTATATACTGCTATATTGTGTAAAGTTATAGCAAATTTAAATGAAAAGTGATTGTTTATTTTATTTTATATTTCACTAATTAAAACGGGCCAGCCTTCTGGAAGAAGATGCTGTCGTGGGTTTCATAAAAGAGTTATTCCACTCTGCATTTGTATATCATATTCTACTGGTATAAAGGTTGTTCAAAGAGAAAAATCTTCTCTATAATATTTAATACAAAAAAGTATTTTTTTAGATTTAATGATTATTTAGATGTTTACAAAATAGATAAATAAATGCAACAAAAAGTACTCTTTTGTACATTAACTTACTTTAAATATCACGATGGACCAAAGTGATACGGAATTAATTTGTTGAGTTTATAATTCTCAAGCACTGGTCCTGAAAAGTTGAAAATAAATTGGGGTTGGTTGCAGGTAACATGCATTTTGTAATTTTACAATGTCATTGCAGCTCACCATAGCGTCTGTAATTTCTGCAATTTACGCTCTGATGATGGTGGTTGTGCTGTTCGGTCTCATCATTGATGCAATCAACAGTGGCTTTTGTTCAGTTACAAGCTATTTTTTCTGTTACGTGGCAGGGACGTTTCTTTTGGCGGCGATTATGCATCCAATGGTACGTATTTTGAGCAAAAGTCACTAAACGCAGGTCTGCTCCAGCTCAATATTTTGATATAATGTGTAGAATGATGATATCAATGGAAAACGTAAATACTGCTCTGGAACAGACCTCTCTGTAATTTTATTTTGAAAAAGTTGAGCAAATTTTGTCTATTTTTCCCTTTTTCTGAAAAGTAATACAAAATTCGAATAGTTTGTGACGTCAGAAAAACAAAAATTGTCAACAACTTACTTTGAAACTATACTATGTTTTGTTAATTTAGATTTCTTTTACATTATATACAAGTCAGCACATTTTAAGAAATTTTCGAAATATAACTTTTGTGGGTGCAAAAATTTGCAATTTTATATATACGATAGTTCTTTTGCTTCTGAATATGGTTTAGTGTAGTCTAGCATCTCTTCATACAATACATGAACCCCATTCATAAATGAGGAAGATGTTAATCAATTTTCTAAATAAGATTATTATAACTAGGCTAATCATGGTTGTGCCTGTTTAATTAAAGAGAGATATTTGAATTGAAGTTTCCTATATATATTATTATATAAAGCGTCTATGCTTCATGTGGCCTAACACTACTCTTAGGAGTCATGATTTGAACTAAGATTAATCAAAGCTATCTGATGAAGCTTTCAAATAAATAAGACCCATCTTCTTTTTTATTGAGAAGAATTTTAAAAGATTCCATTCAATTTATAGTTAATCTTAATCATCTTACCTGGAAAAGGTGAGTTCTTTATTTGAACAAACCTGAGTTCGTTTAGCTAAAGCGTGCTGCTATGTGACAAGATTGGTTAAAATTGGCCTGAAGGTTCTTTTAAAACAATTGAAGAAAATGTTATAGTTTACAGACGGACAGCCTTCTGCGGACAGACAGCTGGACGTTCACAGGATGTTTTCAATTTTAACTTTAAAATTTATTCTCGTAGGTAATTTAAATGTATAAAAAAAATTGTAAATAATTCATATATCTTTTTGTAATAAAGGAATACAAACTATGTTCTCCATTATAATTTTGAAAGGTTTTATTTATTTATTTTTTTTGCTTGATAAACTTGATCAAAAGTAAAATTAATATGTGTTATTTTGTATGAAAAATAGATGATCTTTATCATCCGATTTTTTTTTTTTTTTTTTTTTTTTTTTTTTTTTTTTTTTTTATTTTTTTTTTTTTTTTTTTTTGGCTACAGGAATTTCACAACATTTTTTATGGAATCGTTTATTTTCTGGCGGTTCCTACCACGTCAATGTTACTGTTGATTTATGCTTTGGGTAATCTACACGTGACGTCTTGGGGGACACGTGAGTCCAATAAACAAGGGAAGAAGCGTAAGCAAAAACAAGATAATCAAGAGGAAACCTCGTGTTCCTGCTTTGGAATATGTAGGTATGTGTACATATAGAAGTGAAACTTGTTTCAGAGTATTAAAAGGAAAAATGTCTTACCAAATAATGATATCACTGATATAACTTTTCGCGAAATATATACTCGTATTTAAAGATAAATGGTTAAATTTTCATCTATCTAATAAAATTTCCATTTGTACGGTAGTTGAGTAACCCAAACGACCAAAGAGCATTTTTGTCTACTCGAGTAGTGATTTATTCAATGCCTAATTTTGTCATACATTCTTAGATTATGCGTAAAACCAAATCACATTCTAATGATGTTGAAATTTTAAAGGTTCCCTCTTATGATGACTATGAAAATCATTCAGTTTGCATGGAGTATATAGTAAATATTGAGGTATCCGCCTAATAGATGACAGACTGTTGCCATAGACCTCCCTTGACTAGAAAAAGAATGTCTGAATCATAACTTGAAACCAAATGGAAACTTGAAACATGACCACCCGCTTGAAAAGTGGAAAGGTGTATATTGATCAGGATGTCCGTCTATTATTACGTCCGTCTGTATGTCCGTCCGTCTGTTAACGATGAGGTACCCATCTCATATCTGCGACTGTTATCTGTGTCAAAGCACCTTTGATAGGGTTTTCCCTACATACCGGTATTTCAATTTAAAACTGATTCACCAACATTTAAAGTTTTTCTCGTTTTATTTACACCTGGTACAGTCCACCACATGCAAGACTTTTAAAACTTACATCCAAGATAATTTCCTCTTCCACGTTTGATCTATGTTGGCGATCCAATCCAAGTTGCACGTGTGTTCTCTGAAAAGATTTTCAGATGATTTACACCCAAAGCAAAAAATAAAAATTTTTCGATGGATTTTAAATTAACAGATTCAGCAAAGATTAATTTTAAATAGAAAGTTAATAAATGAGTGCTCGAAATTCTTACCGATATTTAAAAATTTTAGGCTAACAATTAAAAAAAACACTCCATCCCTCCCAGATGGAAACAACATACTCCTGCTCATGCTATAAATGAAATAATGTGCACAATTCATACATTACTCTTTCGTTTAAAGGTGTAATTGTCTGCCCGCGGCAATGGCGAAGATTGCGAAAATTAAAGGTACTGCACTTTTACTAAGATCCCTGATTAACGGAAATGTGTTTGATATTAAATGTAAAAATTATGATTTTGAAAGTGGAATGTACTTTGTTTTGCTTATTTTCTCTATTTTATTAGAATCATACTCAATGTATTTATAATATTTTGTGTAGATAAAAAAAAGAAACAAGAAAAAGAGAAGAAAGAAAAGAACAAAGGTATTACTTGTATCTCTATGACTTCAAACATGGCATACACTTTTTTTTTTTATCAAATTATGTTGTTTCCGACGTTTTTTTTATTCCCCAGGGAAGAACCTCCCTCCTGTCGTAAATACAAGGACACAACTGTTAGACGATGCTCTTGAAGTTGTAGACGATGAAAAGGAGTTCTGGGACGAAATCATAGATAAATACTTGAATCCCAAAATGAAAGAGGATTCTAAGAAACAAGAGAAACTATTGAATCTACGGAATTCGGTCTATGCTGGATTTATAATGATAAATATAATCTACATAACTATTGTCTTTGTTATAACACAAGCAAATGAACTCAATAATGACGTATTTACCGTACGTCTACCTTGTCCGAATAGAACTGGTCACTTCGACGTAGATCCTATTTCTATTGTTTTCTGCATATCGTTTGGACTTGTTCTGTTTTTCCAGCTGATTGGGATGATTATTCACAGATTCTCCACCTTTACACATATTGTTGCTGTGTCCAAAATAACAGGGAAATCATTTATAGACAAACAGAAGAAGGAAAGAAAGAAAGCATATGATTCGGCGATTAGACGAATGTTTAATGATTCTAGTAGTAACATCATGGTGAAAAGCATGGCTGATCGAGGAAAATCTGAAATGAATACAACTATTAAAAATTTCAGAAAAACAACAGATGGCACCTTAACTGCACAATAACTTTAAACTTTCATTAGATATTGCAGAGTAGTTGATGAATGTCAGAGAGTGGCGTAAAGTGTAACTTTCATTAACGTATAACGACTCTCTCTCTCTCTCTCTCTCTCTCTCTCTTTGACGGTGCGAACGTGTGTGTGTATTTGTATTTTAGTTCAAAAATGATTGGTTATTCTAATTAAAATGTTCTATTTGATGTTTTATGAACTTTTGGGGGATATTTTTAGCTCACCTGAGCCGAAGGCTCAAGTGAGCTTTTCTGATCATATTTCGTCAGGCGTATGTCTGTCTGTAAACTTTTCACATTTTCAACTGCTTCTCAAGAAGTACTGAACCAATTCCAATCAAACTTGTCACAAAGTATCCTTGGGTGAAGGAGATTCATGTTTGTTCAAATGAAGAGCTACATCCTCTTTCAAGGGGAGATAATAAGGACTTGGTGAAAAAATAATGGCATCTTTTAAAAACCTCAAGAACCATTAAGTCACGAAAGATGAAACCTATATGGAAGCATCCTCAGGTAGTGTAGATTCAAGTTTTTTAAATCATGACCCACGAGGGTAGGATGGGGCCAAATTGTACTATCAAAGTTTTACATAGGAATATATAGGAAAAATCTTCTTCTCCAGAACCATTGGGCCATGCAGGAAAGATATGGAATCGTGCTCAGGTGGTGTAGATTTAAGTTTGTTCAAATCATGACCCCGGGTGTAGGGTGGGGTCACAATGGACCTTAAAATTTCTATATGGGAGTACATAGGGAAATGCTTTCAAAGTCCTCCTCTGAAGAACAGCAAAGCCTTCATTGTATGGAAGCATCTTCAAATAGTGTAGATTCAGTTGCAAGTTTGTTCAAATCATGAACCTTGGGGTATGGTAGGGGATGACGGCATCATATGAAAGTTTAGATTTAGGAAATCGTTACCCCCCCCCCCGAACTAGGGTAGGGTGGGGCCACAATTTGTAGATCAAATTTTAACTTAAGTAAATAGAGGAATAAATCTTCTGAAGAACAGAAAAGCTATATTTAGTCATATTGGCATGTAAGCTTCCTCATAAAGTGATGATCCATATTTCTTCAAATCGTGACCCCAGGGTGTAGGGAGGAGCAAATATGGAGAATCAAGAAATCAATATATTTAAAAAATATTTTAAAATCTACTCAAGAGCAGCATAGTTAAATGCTATTTTTACATTAATGTGGAGGCATCATTAAGTAGTATAAAATTCACCCACTCCAAGTTAACTTTTTAATACTGCAATGATCTGTTTAATCGCAAAAATTGCGTTTAAAGGCAATTAAAATATTTCTTTCTCTGAACTGGCCCCAACGATCTTCCGTAACCTAGTCTTAGAATGATGTGTATGGGAATAACGAACAGTTTTTAAGCTCAAAAGTCCATTAAACAATTAAAAAAAACAGGATCAGATCATACATGGACCTCTAAAACATCAGAAGTTGGATCAGGTGCCATGGAGAATTGAGCATCCACTGCCGACCGGTCTCACCCGCAGCATGTGCTCTTTTTCATGATTGGGGAAAATTGGAAAATCCGCCAACAATTCAGTGATCTACTGGTCTAATAATTACTATGAAAAAACGTCAGTCAGCATATGACTTAAGGATAAAGTGTATCTGCAGACAAATTCATATAAAAAATACAACAATCAAAAACGTTCAAAATTTATTTTAGAGAAATAAAAAATGTATTTTTACAAAGTAAAATCTTCATGAAAATACGTAAATATATGCCACTTCAAGGCAACTAGAGTTTAATAATAAGTCAAATTCTTTTGCAACTCAGGGGGCAGTTTAACCTCGGAAAAGCCCACCATTTCTTTTTTTTAGGGGGTGTATGTTTGGCAGTATCACACATCCAATATATAACAGTAAGTAGTAGGACTGACTTACGGTATAATCCCTGATCTTTATTAAATAACTGTATCTGCATTGACAAAACAAGTTGAAAATTTTCATAAGATTGGCAACTATTTGCTAAAAGATTGGCAACTATTTGCTAAAATATGCAGCGGTTAGATCTGTTCTTATTTCAAAAATATAATGACATTATTGTTTTAAATTGATATATTATATTAACATTGTTGCAAAATGTCAGCTTTTATTTTGTAACTTTTTTATTATTGGTGTTATTTAAAAACATAGATATGATAGTTCTGTGACTTCTTTGTTGAAACCCTGAATGGTTGAGACTGGCCGAGGATATGATTTGGATGCACAACTATATTGCTGCTCAAAACCAACAATAAACAATGTTCATCTTGACCTACCTAACAACCAATTAAAGATCTAAGGGTGTTTAAAGCAATTATGAATTATCAGCTCTTTTTTTCTTCCCCATTATAACGTGCGCAAACGACTGAAAATCCAAAAGGCTGCAAAAGACTTGCAAAGGTATGTATTCTTTAGCATTTGGAGGAAATAAAATAAAAATTGTAGAGCATTTTTGGTTTTTATATATGACACGATATATTAAAATGCATTTATGAAATGTTTTATATAAAAAGTTTTTGTTTTGTTTAAATATTGTACAAATATGGACTTTTTGGGTGTTGAATATGGTTTTGTTATTCACCAGAAAATATCAATATTGACCGAGGCGAAGCCGAGATCAATATTGATATTTTCTGGTGAATAACAAAACCATATTCAACACCTAAGGAGTCCATATTGTTTATTATATAGTCTGGATTTGAATAAATAAGAGATTGAAGGCTGCATGACGACACTATTTTCATATATTCCGTCATTGAAAATTTGAAGAAAAAAATGTACAGATTACAATTTGTAACCTATGTGTTTTTCTTCCCGAGTTTTGTTATGTGTAAGACGTCCAAATAATCCGGCGATAGTTTTGTCACAAAGCTGCTGCACTGACCCTCTGGTGAATACAGCCTAAAATCCGGTAAATGTATAGGCCTAAGTGTTATAAACTGTTTCCGCTTGTATAGATTATATAGGGACTATAAATAGACTATATGCATGTAATAATGTATTACTAAAGATTTGTAAGCACATGCACGTGTTTCAAAAAATTCCTATTGGAAAAAAAAAATTTTTTCTCTTTATTAATGCAGTAACTCACGTTTTAAGCAATATTTGTAATATATAAGAATGGAAATATCCTTCTTTGGTAAGATCGGAATATTCTTTGGGCCATGTGTAATTTGCTCTTCAAGCATTTTAGAGCATAAATGTTTACTTTCTAGCAACAAAACCCTTCTTTTTCAACATACAAAGAAATAATAAAATAGTAAAAAAAAATATTAATGTCTTTGATGTATGCAGACCAAATTGTTTATTTAATTGAGCTTTCTAGCAAACAATCGAGAAGAGAAAAAATCGCTTTTTTCTCCTGTGTCAGCAAAACATGACGAGACTTGTCAGTTGCATGGCGACCTAGATCATTGATTGCGAAAAGATACACATAATAATGGACCTTTGAACGAAATATTGCTCAATGCAATTGGTTTTTTTAATGTAACAAAAACCTTGAGAGGCAGCTTTATGGAGAATTCAAGTTCAGGTTTCAAACTTAACATGTTAACTAGTTAATTTCTATTTTATGATAGCTATAATCATAACAATTAATAATTTGTTGCGGCGGCTTCAATGCACTTTTAAACAACTATATAGAGGTATGAGGTCTTACCGTAAATTGGGAAATGCTATTATTAAAAAGATAAAAAATTGATTAAAGGCTTTTAAAAGTCTTGAAATTGGATAATTGGTCAATTAAAAAATAAAAAGATAGGTTTGTTGTTGATTGTACCTAGATGACGATTTTGAGAAATTATTTAAAAGGCATGTCAAAAAATTCTAATAAATTAAAAACCTTAGGTCAAATTTCTACACAATTTCAGTAAATAGTAATTGCACACAATACCAATTAGTGATATCGAGTTATCGGTTTGGGGGTCGAGTCAAAAGGGGAAGGTCCCTTGAATTTTGAGATCATCTGCGTATGCAGAAAAATAATTAGCAAAAAACTACAATATTTAATTTTCGGTTTACCGAGACATGCACCACTCTGGTATTTTACAGTATACCGTAGTAACGTACTTTGTTGCAATACAAGTTTCAATCTAAAGTTTAAACTTTTAATGTAACACTTTATTGGGCTAAATATTGGCCGCTAATTTTTCTACGATTTACACTGTAATGATCGACTTCATTATACGATCCCAATTTTAAATGGCATGGAATCCAACATATACAAGTAGTATGCAGTCAAAACGCCTTGTTTGAAATGTCTAATTCGAGGAGTAATTTTGAATTGATTCAAAAGTTAGCTAAATATCAAACTGTTTTATTAGAATTTTTTCTTGAAAAGGAATTCCAAAATATTTTTAAACAGCAAATGGTGTCCTTAAATTGAAGATGACAAGCGTTCATCCTTTGGATCTTCCACAGAGCTCGTCAGCTCCGAGAGAACGGTAAATGAAAATTAAACATTGAGAAGCATTGATTTTAAAAATTATCCTTAAATTAATATAGTTTGATATGGTAATGTAAATAATCAAGATGTAACTGGAAAATTAAAATAATCGTTACATGTAATAACAGTATCTTAATGCTTAAAGCTGACATGAACTCTTAAAAAGGCATCAGTTTTCATCTTTGTACGACTTACTACATTCCTGTACGCCCTTGTCCGCCATATTTCTTCGATTCCGCCATATTTAATCGAAGATTTTTGGCCACCTGTACCTGCTATATATAGCCTTGTAGAATTGTTTCACTTGAGTGATTTTCTAGCCCGGCTGTTGACATGTACACATCTCCGATGGCATAGTTTTTAGAAGTCCATAAACTGACCAAATACATGTTTGAAAAGTAAGAATTCGACCCAAAAAAAATTTGAACTATACCGAGAATTAAATTATTTTTGAATGCATTTGCTGCAATATAGAAAATACATTCATGTACAGCAAAAATCCATGAAGGTCGAGAAAACGCGTCAAACGCAGTGCTAAAACATTTACCTGAATATACTGCTATCGTTACAGGGATGTGCACATGTCGAAAGAATTATCCTATTTTACTTTTATTGAAAAATGCATCCCAGAAGTCATGTAATCCATTACTAACTCAACAGTAAAAGATGCTTGGACACACGTGGCCCATGCCGATCATTTTATTTCGTCAGGGAAAATATCAAAGGTTGAAAGCTCAGT